AAAGAAGAGCCATAACCCCCACTTCCTAAACTCAGATCGCCCGTAATTTATTTTTCCTTTCATTTTTATCATATTCCCGTCGTTTACTAATGAGTTTCGTCCTACAAATTTGTTTCCACTTTTTACCAATTTTGAAGGCTTCAGCCCTGGTCAATATTGTCGTGAATGGAATATCAGAACCATTTTTGGTTATTTCAAAATGGGTTTTCAGAATAAGAGTGAATAAAGAAGTAATAATTCATATTCATATTCAATTTCATTTGATATTATTCTAATATTTTGCCTTGATTTTGTATCACTGGTTATTTCAGGTATGATTTTTTATGATCTTTTTGTTGAGTTATCTGATTCAATGATTATTTTTTGATAAAATTCTTAGCCTAGTTATAAGTATGTTTTAACTGGATATTATCCCTTTTTGATACAACTAATTTCTTAAGATTTGATCTACTTGAATTCTTTATTTACCTCATGTCTATTGACAACTGCTTGCGTGAAAACTTATTTGAGAGAACAATTGTCTTCGAAATGGTGCAAAAATAATGAATTGAAATAACTGAATGTGTCATCTACCTTTTCTAAAACATATAACCTCTCCAAATTTTCTAGGGTTATTTTTAATTAGAAGGAGGACAAAACACAAACAAAACACAAGTACTACAGGAAAATCTTTAAGGCGCTCTAAGAGCGGTGCCTGTGCGAAAGTTCACGTTGGATTTGATTCACTGAATTCACATAGACGCAGTTCTCCAAGTGAATGAGTTCTTAAACAGTGAAGTTCGAGGTATACTGAGTTGAACCTCAAAACGATGAGAAGCCACAATCCGTCCTGTATTTCTGATATGTACTGCTCTTGGTGGAATCAAATACCTAAATACAATACTCCGAAGAAGGTCTAATTTGATCTTTATGAAGCGTTAAAAGTTGCTGAGGTGTATACAGGGTTGTGATTCGGAACAGTGTACCAAGCTTCAAAGAAACAGCCTTTGCATTTTCAGCAACATGATTGTGCAAAGACATATTGGTGTCCATTTTAACCCCCAACAAATTTATCGAAGCAGAAAACGGAATTGTCTGTCCTGACATTATTATCTCCGGTTCGGAGACATTTATCTTTTTGGGGAAAAACGATGTCCAACATATATGTAATGAGTTATTTTGATAAAACAATGTGAATAATGAAAAACTGATTTTTTTCTCCTCACCGGCCAAGTTGTCAATGGCATCTAACAATGGAATATTTCCATACAGTTCATATGAACATCCCATCTTTTTTGCCTTTTTGTTTTCGACGTCCAGAGTAAAAATCAAAACTACACTTGAGACAAAATGATTTGCAACTTATCTATGTTTTTTCTTATTTTTATTCTTTTTATTCAATTCTTTTTTAGTCTGTGATCATTTTCATTTTGTATC